CCGGTCCGTTCATCACTCGCCTACCAGCGGGACGCACCAGAACTACATACAAGAACTATCTGGCTCTATTTGTGTGCCTCACGACAAAGGCTGTACATTTGGAACTGGTAAGTGATCTGACCACCCCTGCTTTCATTGCGGCTCTGCGACGTTTTGTTTCACGACGTGGTTATCCATCAACAATTATGAGCACCTAATGCACAGAATACACTGCGTGAAATGCATAAGTTCTTGAATCGTCCAGAGTTCACTGCTCAAATAAATTCTTTTTGCTTGCCTCACAGTATCAACTGGCCATTTATCCCCCCAGACACCCCTCACTTCGGAGGATTATGGGAGGCCAACATAAAGTCATGTAAATCTATTTTGAAGCGAATTACTGGTACTCAAGTGTACACCCAAGAAGAATGGTCCACATTGTTCACACAAATCGAAGCCATCATGAACTCTAGACCCCTGAGTGCACTATCTGTTGACTGCCACGACTGCAACGTATTAACACCTGGACATTTTTTGATTGGACGGCCTCTAATCACTCTACCAAGCAAAGATTACTCCACCACTCCATCCAACAAGCTGACAAGATGGAATCTTCTACAACAACAGCAACAGCGTTTCTGCAAGTTGTGGTCGTCGGACTATCTGCTAACGCTGCAGCAACGCTCGAAATGGAGAACACCTAACGTGCAATTTCATGTTGGGGATCTTGTCGTCATCAAAGATGAGAATACACCAACCAACCTCTGGCCTTTAGCAAGAATCACAGCAGTACAACCAAGTGCACGCGATCATTTGGTGCGTGTCGTTGCAGTCAAGACTCAAAACTCTTCCTATACCAGACCTATTACAAAGCTCATAAGGCTACCACTACCGCAAGAGACTGAATGAGAATCTCCWAAGCTCATWATTAATATAATTATCGTTTTTGTATATAACTATGAATTTGTTATTTTTATTTTTCAATTTTTCCTTATAAAGCATTTTTTGGTATTCTTATTTTTGAGACTATCGCTCAAGGCGGGCGGTGTTTTGTCAAATGTTAATTGTTATCATCATTATTATTACTATATCGTTACCATGTTCACAAACAAATGCTGTGTTATCATATATGAGAATTAGGACAGGTTAAGTTCTTTTTTTTTGTACAATCAAAAACATACTTTTTTTTCGTCGTGTAAAATAAAATACAGTCCTCTCTCGTAAGAACATTTGGCGTTGTATTTCTTTTTTCCCCCTTTTTTTTTACATAACAATAAAAATAGGCCATCTATGACTACCCCACGGACCACCSGTTTGGAAACACTGATATACAGTAATTGTAATTCATTTAGGTTCATGATTAACCCAAACACTAACTGTTGACTAATGAAGCGCCCAAACTAATTTTTAAAATTCATTAATTAAGAGTTCACTTAAATTTTATACCTTCTCAACAAACAAAACAATAATGACGACGGACATTCTCAATTTCTTATTTTCTTCATGTCATGAATGCATAATTAAATAACATTCTGTAAAAAAAAAAAATATTTAATTCAGTTTAACAACTAAGCACATTAAACTACTCCAAGAGAATATTAATTTTATATCTTGGATTCTCGAACTAGTCCAAAATTACTATTGTACGTGTCAAGATATCATATTGATTAATTTAGAAAGGTAGTTTTATTTTACGTAATTGATTTCACTGTATCGTTATAATATAATATGATAAATTAGTTATTAAAATTAGAATACACATTATAGATATTTGAATGACTATTTTTCTTAAAATCTAGAATTTTTATGGTTATGAATAGCAAATATGCATATTAAATATTTATGAAAAATTAATATACTTAAAGAGTTGTTAGTTAATTAAAAATTATTATTTTCAGTCCGTAATGGTACGTATTATAAATATATTTTATATTACACACTACAAGAACGTTTTCTGTGAAACGTATCATTTAATTTTCTGAGATACTGATAAGAACTAGGATAGTATGATAATCTGCGGACAGCCGTCGAGTGCGGTCACTTTTTTTTTTCGCTTTTTCGTACAACGATATGATTACTGTTTATCTCGAAACAATTGTCTAAGTCCTACAACAACAGATGTGAAATCGTACCCAAAGATAACTTTCAGTTTCCTCTTCACGCATTCTAGCTAGGCCGGGAATGACACAATAATAGGCCGTGACGCCCGGTCACCAAATACTTCGCGCGGCGCACTCACACACCGACCGACCGTGTGTATGTGTGTATATGTGTGTAGCAACTCAAAGGAAGTGGACGGGGTCGCCGAGCAAGACCAGAGAATGCTAGTGTGTGGTGGGTGTGTATACTTAAAATAAAAATAAAAGGTAACAYGGWTTTTGGTAATGGAGAATAAAATATAATAATAATCAAATTACGGCCCTTCTGGCCCAACAGATACCTAATAATACACAATTTCGGCCCTTTTGGCCCAACAATAAAATATATAAAAGATAATAGCTACGGCTCCTTTATAGCCCAACAGGTAAAATATAGTTTGGCACAGGCACACAGCTGATAATAATAATAGTAATAATACCAATATAATCTTAAAATAAAATAATAATATAAAATAACTTACATAATTGTCGGTGCTCTGCTGGCCAGCTGCTACCTAGCTATAATGATAATATATAACAATACACGGCACACATTATATCGATACAGTAAACAAGATAATAAAAAGTGGCGATTCGCGCCTGTGAAGAATATAATTAAATGTGGCAATTCACGCCCTCACAATATAATAATTAGATGGCGCTTAGCGCCTGCACAATATAATAAATACGTGAACCGAACGGGACGATTCGCGTAAGCGAAGTATACAGACAATTAATAATATATAATAATATCTATAGGCGATTAGCGCCTATAACATATAAGTATATAACCAAAAATATAAAAAGTGTGGCGATTCGCGCCCTCACGATTATAGTATAATATAAAACGGCGATCACACACGTATATGATATAATAAATTACAACAATTGCTGCATTTCTGCGTTGATACTATGAAACGGACCTGCCCGGAGGTTTTATTGCAACTAACACAATCGTACCGACGTGAATAAAATATAATATAATAATATAGACYGGTAATTAAGYGGCGGCTGATAGTGCGTCGGCAGGTGACTTCACGGCGACGATAAGAGAGGGATGACATATAAATATAATAATTAAAAACACATAACAGAAATTGACAGAAATTACAGACGGCGCACGTGAATGTATGTGTGTGTGAGTGTGTGTCAGCCGGTGACAAATATAGGCCATTGATCTATATAATAAGGTGGCTAAGTGGCTGGCTGAAGTGGTGTGAGCACCGGAAGCTATATAATASTTATTGTAAATATATATAAAAAAAATTTTATTTAGGCGCTAGCAACCGGGAAAAGTGAATATTAATAATATAAACTGTAATACCTACTAATTCTAAAATACTGTATTTAACCAACTACTAAATTATAAATTGTCGTGTCTTAACCAAGGCAACGTCACTTACGTTGACCTTTGGACTCAGATAACTATGCCTACTAATAACAAACCTTCAGTTGCATGCACCGTGCCGCCTATAATTATGAGCAAAGTCGTTAATACGAGTAATATAAACACAGATAACAACCCACAGTCACAATCAACAACTAATAAACGTTCTCTATCTTCTTCACCGACGACCCCCTCTAACACCGCTAACTCCTTCGCTACTACTGTTACCAAGAAATCAAGATTCTTTGTCTCTCCAAATCGCTACTCTGTCCTGGCAGATAATGAGACCTAATCAATAAAATCTTACGATAACAATCCAGTTGAAGTTGACACACAAGGTCAGGGGTCTGTGAACTCTACCACACAAACACAAAAGAAAGTAAATCTGTCGCCACCGATATTAGTTAAAGGCGTAAAAAATTTTTTCGAACTATCCAACGAACTAGCTGTTATAACTGGCCCAGACAGCTTCAGCTTTAAGTCAACGTCTTCGCATCTTAAACTCCAGCTTGACACCCCTGATAACTATCRTAAAATAATCCACTTTCTGAAAGACAATGATGCAGAGTAATCATACATACCAATTAAAATCTGATAAAGCTTTCAGAGTAGTGTTATGAAATCTAMATCCATTGACTCCCGTTTCTGAAATCTCAACAGCAATTGAAGAAATTGGTCATTCTGTCAGACAAGTCACCAATATTATTCATAATCAAACCAAAATCCCATTACCACTGTTCTTTGTAGACYTTGAGATTGATGAGAAAAATAGTGATATATTTGATGTCACATACATACTCTACACAAAAATAAAAGTCGAAGAGCCACACAAACAACGTCAGATTACTCAGTGTTTAAATTTCCAATCATATGGTCATACTAAAAGCTATTGCAGCTAAAATCCACGTTGCGTTAAGTGTGACRGACATCATCTCTCCCCGGGCTGTTCCAAGTCAGGCAAAACTCCTGCYACCTGCGCACTGTGCAATGCCAACCATCCAGCAAACTATAAAGGCTGCTCTGTCTATAAAGAACTCCAACAACGACGTCGCCATTCCGTGAGCTCCAARCATGCCCGTCTACAGCATCCACAACAGCCTCAACATCCTCCAGTTTACCAGTCCAACTACCAGCCAKCCAATCAAGCAACCTCTCACACCACTAATAAACCTAGTACTCGATCATACGCTAATGYAAMAGGTAAYGACACCACTCAAAATAATACTGATAATTCTTCAATCAATGTTGATTTCATGCTACCAAATTCTTGGATGAACTTAAATCAATAGTTAACCCCTTAATAACCCTTCTGAACACTGTCATCACTAAACTTATTGAATCCCAAAATGATAAATAATTCATACATCTCTAACTCC